ATTGTCCCGAAGACAGCAAAATATTTTAACAATTTCAATATTTTTTGTGAAGCATGCATTTATTGCTGTTGTGTTGCACACGACAAGCTTCCATTTCCCCTGTCACAAGGGGATTTATGGCTGATTTAAGATGAACTCGTCAACCCTGTTACAGTCAACCTGTTATTTATTTGGCTGTTGATAGGCACTTACTATGGTCTGTTTTTTATGTAATCTTGAGATGGGAAAACATGTTTTTTTATTAAGTTGAACATGCGCTCTTCATAGAAGAATGTTCAAACTAGGTTAAATAACAGGTTGTTGCACTACCCAAAAGGGACTGGAGTTTGAGTTTGAGTTTATTTTTATTTTTTACAGGGTCAGTGCACATTAATCAACGTTTCAGTAAAATAGCAAGCCGGCTAATTTTCAACTGCAGTCCCTGGGCAGGTTATTGTTTTGTGGAATGGCCCCTGTATTGTATTCTGTATTAGAACTTGGAATGGTCTGTTACAAAATATTGTCGTACTGTACAGGTAATAACATTACTCCTATTTTTATTTTATTTCAGCATGTGAGTAACTCCTCTTTCATCTAAGTGTATCATACACAGGAAGTGATCTGGTAAAATAGGTACTGTATGTTGTTGTCTGTATACAGTATTTGGAGGCCGGCCAAGCAGCCTCTGGGTTGCAGCCGGGTTAGTTGTAATGCTGCATCATAATGGTTCCTGTGAAGATACCGCTTTGCGAATGCATTACAGTAGTCACACACACACACACACACACACACACACACACACACACACACACACACAGTGTCTACTAATAAATCATGTCACGTAATGTTCTTTCCCCAAAACACTGTCTGAATGTATTACCGTGCCAAACTCACAACTATGGCAATTTTCAGAGAATTACTAGCCAATTATGTATTTGGTCATTAGGTTTTGTTGCCATAGCCTCTGGTAATTTGTATATTCTCTCCTTTCATGTTTTCATTGGCTGTGTTGGGGCCATGGGAAACTCTAGGGGGTAGGTATTTAAAACGCCTTGTACATTTTTCCAGGGTTGAACCTTGAACCGTGCACACAGTGGACGTCAGAGGTTATGTTCAAATAGCTGTGTTGAATAGCCCGTTTTATTCTTGAGAAAAGCATGATAATAACCATTTGCATTTTCTCGCTATGTTTTTGGTGGGAAACATACAGTATAGACACATTTGCATGATTTTGCCCTTTTTGTTTTGCAGGGCTATACACCCCTGCATATTGCAGCGCTGCATGGCCATCGACACATTTTGGAGCTGCTTATTGGAACATATGGTAAATGACAGGGAAAGTTAACTCACTTGCTTTTTGTCTTTGGGGTGTGAAATGAAGGGTATCAATCATTGTCTCACGTCAGATACCGCGACGGCCGTCTGCACTGATCTGTCTGATAACTCGCAAACACTCATGGAATAGCTAAAAAGAAATGTGGCTACAATATGCTGTCCTCACGTTTTAACATTTTACCAAGGTGACATTGTCCACTGAACCCCCTTTCATCCTCAAAAGAGTCAGTTAATCTGATCCAAAATTATAAACCTGTAGCTAATATTGATGGGGGGTTTTTCATGAGCAAGTCTTCACTACCTAATTCTACATCTAGTTAAGGTGTTTTGTGGTGGTAGAATAAGTTATGAAATTCGAAATGTGCACGTAAATTACATGACTTTCTGGCTGAATCAGTCTCAAATCAATCCGTATAAAATGAAAGGCAGGGATGCTAACAACGCCAGTTAACACACTAAATGTGGAATACTTCCTCTAGCTAGCTAGCGTAGTGAAGTTCTAGCTAATACACAAATTAGTTTTGCAGTGATTAGTGCACTAAGTTCTACAGGACAGCTGACTGCTCTCTGAGACTTTATCGCGTCGTACAAATGTTACAAAGTAGCGAGACACAGTGCCAGCTGTCAGAGTGAGATACATGCGTATTTCTGAGAACAGTCCCATAACTTTGGTTCCGTACAACTTCATCAACAAGCTGACAAACTAGCTACCATATGGCCTTTCAAACAAGCTTGCACTAGGCTGCTAGCTGGAGCAAGTTTGCTAAGCTGATCGAGCATGGTTTGTCGTAGTCAGTGTTGCCAACTCCTCAGTAAGGAAAGTAGCTATTGGCTGTCCTAAAAGTCGCTAGAAGTCACTAAATGACGTCATCACCTAATTTGCATAATTGTCCATGTGCATGTCATTGTGATGGACGCTGTAGGAGAGAGGAATAAGGTCGTGGGAGAGACAAAAAGTGAGTAAAAACACCCAACATTTACATCCCGCCCTGGATGTAAGCCCACGGCAGCACCCACGGCAGCATCCGCTGCTCGTTGAGAAGAGTAAGAACGATACGTGCTTTCCTGCCAGAGTCTCCAAAAGTCTCCAATAACATCAGAAAAAGTCGCTAGATTTGTCGCTAGTCGCTTTTTTGAAAATGTGTCGTTAGAGGGGTCTGAATACTCGCTAAGTTGGCAACACTGGCGGAGGGGTGAACATCTCCTGCTCTGACTGCAGCTGGGAGGGACTGCTGCGCGAGGACTGGGCCGCCTGTGAGTGCTTTGGGATGGGGGTGGGGCGGGGCGGGGTGAGGCCCACGGCAGCACCCGCTGCTCGTTGAGAAGAGTAAGAACGATACGTGCTTTCACGTCAGAGTCTCCAAAAGTCTCCAATAACACCAGAAAAAGTCGCTAGATTTGTCGCTAGTCGCTTTTTTGAAAATGTGTCGCTAGAGGGGTCTGAAAACTCGCTAAATATAGCTACAAAGTCGCTAAGTTGGCAACACTGCGTAGTAGCCAGAGCATCATAGCTACCGAGAGCTGAGTGATTTTCAGAATTAGGAACTAGTGTTAGGCGGATGAGCAAAATGTCGATTTTTAGAGATGAGTTCCACATCCTACAAGATAGATCGGTTGAGGGTCGAGCGTTGCATAGGAGTGACGCCATCTGACGTGAGACAATGGGGGTATCAATGCAACAGGTCAGCTATTGTCTATCTGCCATCGATTGCCTTTTTTTCCAGGACATTTTTCTCACAGTCAATGTTTGACACATCTTTCCTCTTCTCTCAGGTGCGAAGGAGAACCTCCGGGACTACAGTGGCCATCTTGCCTGCCAGTACCTGAACATCAGGGAGCCTACAGAGGAAGACAGAGCAGCTCCAGAGGAGATACGTGAGTCTCTTACTCTCTTCTTTTTGACTCTAATGTCTCTGAAATGTTGTCTAAATGCAGAATGAACAACAGACCCAAATATTTCTCTGCCCAGTCTGATACAGAATAGCAGTCATAACAGTTTGTGGCTTTGTTAATAAGATCTAAATGAGCCCCAAAGGTCACTCTTACAGTTATGTTTCAGCCTTACATACAAAAAGTTCCTATCTAGAACCTAAAAAGTCTTTGGAGAATCACTTTTGGTTCCAGGTAGAACCCTTTTCACAGAGGGTTCTACATGGAACCGAAAAGGGTTCTAGCTGGAACCAAAAGGGTTCTACCTGGAAGCAAAAATGGTTCTTCAAAGGGTTTTCCTATGGGGACAGCTGAAAAACCCTTTTAGGTTATAGATATAACTTTTTGTATTGTACAGCTATGGTCTGTATTTTGTTACATCAGAATTCCCTGAGTTCCATGTGGCCCAGGCCAGAGACCGCAGCAGGAACAGGAAGTTGACCTCGTTGTTCCAGTCCAAGAAGAAGTGGGGCTCAGCGGAGGAGCTAGCCCCTGTGGAGGAGGAGAGGGTGGCACTAGCACCCCATCAACTCATGGTCCCCGCATTCAGACCCAGGAAATTCTCACGGTGAGGAAGGAGCTAACCAAATGCCCCAACATGCAATGATGACATTACAGAAATGACATTACAAGTACATGTTCAGTCAGTGTATGTTTATTTGAATTTGTATGCTTTTATGGTATGTATGCTTGTATGTATGTATATATGTATGTATGCTTTTATGGTATGTATGCTTGTATGTATGTATATATGTATGTATGCTTTTATGGCGTAGAGAGCTCTAACTATTGAACTGTTTCGTTTTTTGTTGTTTATTGTATTGTAACAATCTCCAAACATTATTTGATGATAATTTAATTCAATTTAAAAAGTCACATTTTATTCTAGTGAGACAATGTTACAAAAACATTACATATGGCGCTATTTTGCATGCTGCATTGATTTTTGTCTTGCTCTTTCAATTTAGTCTGTATTTGAATTTACTTGCCTTTTTCTCACACCGTGTTTAATTATGAAAGCGAACAAATTTGACAAGCAGGTGGAATGGAGACATTATTTCTCGTTCCGAGGGCCGATGTGACATTCCAGATTTGAAGTGCCATGTTTACAAATTGATGATTGCACTATTTCATAGTTGTCAATTGGTTAATAAGGGATGTTGTTTTGTATAGGTTCACCCTCAGTATTCACATTGTATTTCTATTGAAGGACAAAACAATAACAGATTATTGGCATTGAATAGTCAGTTCATAATGAAGTGCCTGTCTTATTACATTTTGAGAGTTCATTGATGTGCCATGACTTTGCATCATGTGTTTTTTCACAAGTTGCCTGTATTGCCTCAGTCTGAACCTGCCTTTGTTCAAGCTTGTTTTGTTTTGCACATTATGTATATTTTAGTAGATATTTTGATATTAAACTGCCATGTTGGTCTACAAATGTTGTCTTCACTTTTTCATCTTTATGACAGCAACAGTAGGGTGAGTTTTACCAGTTAACTTGGTTCTTAAATGGGTACTTATATCAGCTGTGGGGATGGCCTTAAGATTTAGTCGATGCATAATAAAATCAAGACTATTTTCCTTATACACTGGGGTAATATAACAAGATTACACTTCATTATATTCTCAGCTTTGGACCGCATAGTTCATCACTCACATTATGACTCCTCCCCAACAACAAGAAATGAAACTTGTGAGAACGCTTTTTTTTTTAATGGTAATATCCTCACTTGTTTTCGAAGCCTCCTTTGATCTACATCAACCTCCTCACTTTGCAGCCTACAGATGGAGTAAATATGGATCCTGGTTACTCTCCATAAGGCTTTAGCCCTTAATTCCAGATTAGCCGAAAAGGGCAGCAGCACTTGCTTTTGGGGTTTGGGGTATCAGAAGACATGGGGGAATAGAGGCAAGTGTTTTGCGCTTCAATTCTGAAGAGGGGGAGGTTGTTGGGGAGGGGGGGATAAGAGGGGAGTTTCTGTAATAGATACTTATCTTACTGCCCTCAAGCCCTCAAACAAAGTCCCCCTCTGAAGAGATTATAACCTGGGGAGGGCACATTAACTCTAATCCCATGCTTTGAGGCCTAGCCACCACATACCAACCCCCTGCCCACATACCCCCACCATACCAACCTCCTGCCCCCATACCCCCCCCCATACCACCCCCTGCCCCCATACCCCCCCATACCAACCCCCTGCCCCCATACCCCCCATTCCACCCCCTGCCCCACTATCTAGCCCCCCATACCACCCCCTGCCCCACTACCTAGCCCCCCATACCACCCCCTGCCCCACTACCTAGCCCCCCATACCACCCCCTGCCCCACTACCTAGCTCCTCATACCACCACCTAGCCCCCCTATAACTACCCTCTACCCTTCTGTTGTAGGGGCTACCTTGTATCTGGCCCATGTATGAGGTGACCCTGTGGCTACACACTAGGGGGTCAGTGTTTGTGTGTGTGGGTGTGTGGGGGGAGGTGGGGTTAGTGTTTCAATAGCACGCTGTTTCTAATGAAAAGCATTGAGGGGTGCATACTGCTGTGTAACCGATTCTCCTCTCTGAAGAGATTAGGAGCTACATTGTTGGTTTGGTTGCTCATTTCCATGAGAGCACTGCCTCCCACCAGCGCCTGCTTGCTATTGTTATCAGGGGGTTGAAACACAGAGAACCAGGGCCCCCGGCTTCCTTGTAGCCTTTGTTTAACAAACGGGCCGAAATGTAGATGTCACGTCAAAGATGCCTTACAAGCTCATTAGGCTGCCTGTGAGGGTATAGTAAAAAAAATCTGTAGATGCATGAACTTCAATTTGTTACATTTTGAAGAGTTGCTTTCTTCCGCTACCTCCATTTCCTAACTCTTTAACAAAACAATCTTACATTATTTTGAGCAACATTATAAAGATTATTAACAATGAAACATGTTCCACTATAGTTTTTATGTTGCGTTTCATGTCATGCCCATGCACATGGAGTAGCAGTGAAATGATTTGCCACAAATATTAGTGTGTGTTAGCAATGAATTCTTTCTCATATTGTGGATGGTTATATGCTAATGATAATAATTGTAATCTTGCAGCATGTAGAAGAAAAGTACTCCCATTTCCCATTATATGTTCTACTGTAGCTACTGTCTACAGTGCTATTCCTGACTTTAATGAATAAACCATGTACACTCCTGGGAAGCAGGGCATGTTGACTTGCATATGCGTGGTGGGGGCCACCTGCGCCACCATGCCAAATCAAAGTTTATTGGTTGCGTACACAGTTTTGCAGGTCTAGCAAAACGCTTCTGTATCTAGCTCCAGCAATGCAGCAATATCTATAAATATAATAACAGTACACACATAATCTAAAAGTAAAAAATAAATCAAACATAACAAGAAATTAAGACATATCAGAGTCCGGAACATAAATATATAAATCAAATAAAATTGTATTTGTCACATCCGTCGTAAACAGCAGGTGTAGATTAACAGTGAAAAGCTTACTTACGGGCTCTTGTCACGATCGTCGTAGGAGTGAGTAGACCAAGGCGCAGCGTGTGAAACAAACATGACTTTAATTAGTTAAAGTATACCAAACAAAACACGACTCGTGAAGTCCACGGTAAACAAATACCGACACGGAACAAAAACCCATAACACCCAAGGGAAAACATACAGTTTAATTATGGCTCCCAATCAGAGACAACCCACAACAGCTGACACTCGTTGCCTCTGATTGGGAGCCACTCTGGCCAACATAGACATAGAACAACTAGACACTCAAACACAGCACATAAACACACGGAATCTACACACCCTGACTCAACATATAAAGTCCCCAGAGCCAGGGTGTGACAGTACCCCCCCCCTAAAGGCGCGGACTGCGACCGCGCCTCAACAAAACCCAAACAGGGGAGGGCTGGGTGGGCATTCCTCCTCGGAGGCGGCTCCGGCTCCGGGCTTGACCACCACCCTTCCATAATTCCCCCGTAGCGCCCCTGGTCCGGTCTGACCCCGCTGGCCGGATCCGGACTGGACATCGACGGAGCGGATTGCTTACGCTCCGTTGTGGAGCAGCTGACCGGTACCTGATCAGGCACCGGACTGACGACGCGCACCCCTGGCTTGGCGCGTGAGGCAGGAACGGACCGGACCTGGCTGACGATGCGCCCCCCTGGCTTGGTGCGTGGAGCAGCAACGGACCGGACCGGGCTGACGATACGCACCCTGGCTTGGTGCGTGGAGCCGGAACGGCCTCACCGGACTGACGCCCCGCACCCTTGGTTGGTGCTGGAGCAGCGACGGGCCGGACCTGGCTGACGACTCCCCCCGGGCTTGGTGCGGTAGCAGGAACGGGCTGAACCAGGCTGACGACTGCATCCCTACTTGGTGCGAGTGGCAGGAACGGGCTGGACCAGGCTGACGACTCGCAAACCCCCGGCTTGGTGCGAGTGGCAGGAACGGGCTGAACCAGGCTGACGACTCGCACCCCTGGCTTGGTGCGAGTGGCAGGGAAAGGGCTGGACCAGGGTGACGACGCACACCTTAGGCTTGGTGCGTGGAGCAGAACAGGCCGGCTGCTGACGACGCACACCGTAGGCTTGGTGCGTGGATGCAGGACCAAGGCCGGATGGGCTGGCGACGCACCCCGTAGGCTGGTGGCTGGGCGGACAGGCCCGGCTGCTGGGACGCACACCGTAGGCTTGGTGCGTGTAGCAGGACAGGCCGGGCAGGGCTGGCGACGGCACACCGTAGGCTGGTGCTGGAGCAGAACAGGCCGGCAGGCTGGACGCACACCGTAGGCTTGGTGCTGGAGCAGGCAACAGGCCGGCTGGGCTGACGACGCCACACCGTAGGCTTGGTGCGTGGAGCAGGGACAGGCCGGACGGGCGGCGCCCCACCGTAGGCTTGGTGCGTGGAGCAGAACAGGCCGGGCAGGGCTGGGCGATACGCACCCCTGGCTTGGTGCGTGGAGCCGGAACGGCCTCACCGGACTGACGACTCGCACCCTTGGCTTGGTGCGTGGAGCAGCGACGGGCCGGACCTGGCTGACGACATCGCACCCCGGGCTTGGTGGCGATAGCAGAACGGCTGAACCAGGCTGACGACTCGCATCCCTGACTTGGTGCGAGTGGCAGGAACGGGCTGGACCAGGCTGACGACTCGCACCCCTGGCTTGGTGCGAGTGGCAGGACGGGCTGAACCAGGCTGACGACTCGCACCCCTGGCTTGGTGCGAGTGGCAGGAACGGGCTGGACCAGGCTGACGACGCACACCGTAGGCTTGGTGCGTGGAGCAGGAACAGGCCGGGCTGGGCTGACGACGCACACCGTAGGCTTGGTGCGTGGAGCAGGGACAGGCCGGACAGGGCTGGCGACGCACACCGTAGGCTTGGTGCGTGGAGCAGGAACAGGCCGGGCAGGGCTGGCGACGCACACCGTTAGGCTTGGTGCGTGGAGCAGGGACAGGCCAGGCAGGGCTGGCGACGCACACCGTAGGCTTGGTGCGTGGAGCAGGAACAGGCCGGGCAGGGCTGGCGACGCACACCGTAGGCTTGGTGCGTGGAGCAGGAACAGGCCG